TTCTCTGTTTTTCCATTTCATCAATTTTCAAAACACCTATGAAGGAAGGGAAAAGAGAGGTCAATGTATTATTTTAGTCAGAATCTGGTGACAAATATACAGGAAATTGGTCTACTTCAACCAGACTGTAAATCCAGTCGGTAAATTCCAAGAACAATGGGGGAAACCCTCAAACGTTAATCTGGTATGACAGGCTTGGGTTTAGGTCACTTTGTGCTTTTCAGTACTATAACAAGTCTCAGTGTAAAACCCAAAGCCCCTTTCCTTGAATACAAGGCCACTGGAGGTATTTTGTGTAGACATTCAGAGAAGTGCAGTGAAATGTTGCAGTCTGGAGATGGTGGGTTGATTTTGGTTGCAGTAGTGTTAGGGGAGGTTCTTGCAAGGAGCAGGGTAGACTGGGACCTCCACCCCTTGCTGCAGTTATAAAGGCACTAACATCAAAGGGAGGAGCCAGGGAGGAGTTGAACACCAAACTCCTTTCCTCTGGAGCGCTGGGTGAGGAATGCTGCAGAGCTGTTAAACTAGTAGGCAAGGTTTTGTTGCATGGGAAGAGAACTTATCTCTTTCTTCTGTCTCCCAGTGAGAAAAATGTGGCTGAAGTTTCTTTTGGCTATTCTTCTCTGGCATGCAGCAGCTGCAAAGGAACCTGAGCCGTAAGAACCACCCTCTTACTACTATTAGTGTTTGTGAAAAGGCCTTAAAGACAGCGCTAGTCTGTGCTAGTGATTTTTCTCTGAAACTTAAATACTGCCAGGGCTCATCTTTTATAGCTGGAGAGCTAAAGCAGAATGGGGATGGCAAGTGAATAATTTTCATTTCATATGCTCAGACCTTCCACCAATTGCAGAACTTCCATGGGAGTTGATGTGTGCCCAGAAAAGGCAATAGCAGTAGTGACAGCAGGGTTCTTTGCTAAAACCAGGTGAGCCCAGGGCTCAGATAAAGAGCAAAAGGGAAAGAGCTGGGGGCAATAGCAGGACTGGGCTAGTTCAGAGCTGCAGGACAGAGTGAGGAGCACTGGCAGTGTGTCCTATTTAATCTAAAGTAATTGGTGGGTACTTAATAATAACGGTGTTGTGTGTTTGCTTTATCCTGATGATGCTGTTTCTCTTTTACATATGAATGTGATCACTTTGATGTTGGGATTTCACAGGCAGTATGTCCTGATGGTGCCTGCTGTCCTCCAAAATGACTCTCCAGGTCAGGGTTGCCTGCAGTTCCATAACCTCAATGAGACAGTATCTGTCAGAGTAATCCTAGAATACAGCTCTGTTAATACCACTATTTTTAAGAAAACCATGACAGCCGGCAGTGGTCTACAATGCTTCAAGTTCAAGGTAAGTTAATTTTAGTTTATGTCCCCATGGGAAAAAAAAAATGTAAACCAGGACAAGAAAATTCAAGCAGAGAGCGCAGAAAGGAACAAACAGTGAAAGAAATAAGACTTGTTAAAGGAAAAAGGAAGCATAGGAGATTATCATAGTAACAGAAAAGGAAGCATTTTTTGTAGACATAAGTAATAAGAAAAAGCCCATAAAGGTGATGAAGTTGGTTGAAGTGAGATTGTGTCTTGTTGTAGGAGCCGAGGTCACAGGTATTGCTGTTCAACAGGTTCTGGAGCAAATTACTTCAAGACTAACAACCTCCCCATGTTTCTTCTTTCTTCACAGATTCCTCCTGCCCACTCTGCACCCCTGGCTTTCATTTCCTTCTCTGCCAAGGGCAGAACTGTCAGCCTAGAGGAGAGGCGGTCAGTGATGATCTGGAACACGGACAGCATCGTCTTCGTGCAGACAGACAAACCCATCTACAAACCAGGACAGACTGGTGAATATCCACTCTGTATATAACATGGCCTAAGGAGGCAATTTCCTCAGACAGAATTTCTCTGTCTGGTGTTTTCCAGGCTGAGCTACATTCTAGGCCGTTTCTTCAGAGTTCCTGTTAAAACTATTACAGTATTTGCTGTGGAGATTAGGGAGTCATGTTCAGGATGTCAGGAGACTGTCATCCTATCATCTCTATTATTTCATTTGTCCCTTCCTCCCTGGTGGCAGAAGCTATAGAAGCTATCACTGCTGCTCTTTCATTACTGATGACAGGCCAGGAGAGTGGGTAGAGGTGATTAGATCACTACCTGGCATAAAACAATGCTTCCCTCTGTGGCACTGGTCAGCATCAAAATAGCCTAAACAACAAGAGTGAAATCTGTTACTTTAAAATTAACTATAAGTTGTTAAAGACAAAATCATGTTTTTTACCTTCTGGCCTCTGATGTGTTTGGACTCTAGATTTTTATTAGAGTTTTATTTTCTTGCAGAGTTGCATTCCTGCACTTATGCTATCCCCCTAGCCATGCTTCACACATGGCCATTAAGCAGATCTGCATTTTTCTAGATCCATTCCTCTATTAATTTCTAGGCTTTAAGTTTCTAGCACACACAATAGGAAACCAGAGAAGAAGACTTATTCCCAGAGATTAGTCACATGCAGCCATTAGACTAGATTAGTTTTGGTTTAATTCAGATCAGTTCTATCTACATAGATACATAGAGTGAAGAAAAGCTTACCAGTTGGAATTTCATGCCACAAAGCTGTACAATGTGGGTTGTTTATTGGTCAAATGGCTTGGTTTTGAGCTGGGGCAAGCAGCAGACAAAACCAAATTATGAAAAGGTAATACAGTTCTTATTTGTTCAGTCATTCCTTTCTGTGAGGTTAAACTTTCATGAAAGTAAACTTTTCATTACTAACATTAAAGGAAACTTTTATGAAGGAGTACAAGAACTTGATGCTAGGGAAAACACCTTTAATCAAAGTCTGTGTAGGGCTCTTCTACCTTCAGATGCATCTTATTATGTGCATCCTGTGCAAGCAGGACTGTTGGAAGATCTGTGAAACTGGGAGTACTAATGAAAGCAAAACATCATGCTCAACCACACAAACTATGGTCAATGCTAACACCCTGTTTCTTGCTTTTCCAGTGAGGTTTCGTGTGGTTGCCCTGGATTTAAATTTTAAACCTGTTCAGGAGAAGGTGAGTGACCACTAATATTCCCCTGTATTTAAAATTGCTGGGAGACTACTTCTTCTCAAATTTGACATAAAGGATTGCTGTGGATAAAAAGGGATGTTGCAGAGACTAAATGCCAAAGAATTAACCTGATTTCCTAAGCACACAGTGTAATCCAGCCTTTCATTAGAGTCACAGGGAAGAAGGCAAGTGTGCAGCAGTTTGAATTCCTGACACAACACCTTCTGTTATCACTGGGAAAGAGGCTCAAACCCCCTCCACTTTGTTCCCACAGACATTATCTTACTTCTGACCAGAAAGGCCACGATTCAATCTCCTGCCCTTAGAGTTCAGCAAATGTTTCTTGCAGGCATCAGTAAATCGTCCACCTGGCACTTTGCCTGTTTTAGAAATGGGGGAAATGAAAGAGAAATTGCTGCCACAATTATTTATCTCCTCAGAGGTATTATTTCCACTGCCAGCAGTCCCTCTTCATGCTGATAGTCATAAGGAAATTACTGGAAGGGTCTTCACTGGCCTCCTTTCCTGCACTTGTAATGCAGGAGACAGCACAGTGGTAGCAAAAGAGCTGGTGCAAATAAGAAGCCCAAATCATGGCTTGTGTGCAGCTCTATAGCTCTCTCACTCATACACACTGAGATTACACTAAAACTAGAGTGATCAGAAACTGTCCTACCATTCTCATTTCATCTTTCTCCTTTATACAAGCTTCTTACTGAAGTAAAATTGCTGTTAAACTGATTAAAATAGGAGATAAGGACCTCTGATGAATGGTATTATACTGAATATTGTTATATACTTCTCACAAGTATATATTCTTTTCCTGAGGAAAAACAATTTGTGTTTGATCAGCCACCTAATATCTTCTTCCATTCTGTTTTTTCTTCTTTCAGTACCCCTTGATTGCAATTCAGGTAAGAAATATTTGTCTGGGCAGATGTCCTTATATGAATATCCTATACTGAATGTGTGCATACACAGACAAACCTCGCTGCTCAGTAAAACAGCAGGAATTAACAGAAAGTCTTTAAAACAAGGATGCTCTGGGCTTGACATGGAGAGCACACCTATAATCATTCCAGCAGTCAAAATTTGTAGTTTTCTTGTGTCTGCCTTTGATTCTTCTCCCCTTCCCCCAGTTTGCTCAACTTATTTTGGAGCATGTATTTTTGAAACTCTAGTGCTGCTAAAAACTATGAACAAATATATGTGAATACAACTACTAACTATGTCAGAACTTTCGTGACATTTTCTGGGGATTTTTAAAAGAATTGCAGTTCATGTCTAGACAGCATACTTGCAAGTTTTTGTGTTACACTGTGAAGTCAGGGGACTTTATTTTCTTTGCAGCGAGAACATACATCTTTTGAGTCCTCCACATGTTTTTCTTCCAGCCATGGCTGTAAAGAGCCAAGGAAATGGTGTGAATGAGTTTTCTTTAATCTAGCTAGCATAACATATACTGAGAGGAAAATGCCACCCCAGTGAATGCTGAAGAAAGGTTTCCTTCCTTCTTCTGGCAGCTGAAAAAAAAAAGCTGGGGTTGCTAAAGGCCAAGATTTGTGTGGGATAAACTTGGCTGAAGGGAAAGCACAAAGAAGATTTTCTTTCTCTCCCCTCTTGACACAAATCTAGAGCAACATATACTAAAGAGCAGGAAAGAGCAGTATTGTGCAACTTTCCCTGATGATTGAGACTAATAAGTAGGTTGGCAGAGAATGCCTAAATTGGGAACAATAGATGAGAATCTAACAACATTAATAATAACATGAATAATCAGAGTACAAAGACTCAATTTAACTTGATGCATGTGCATTAAGCAGCTTCTCCAGTGCATTAAAGCAACCTGATCTGTTTTCTTCTTTGTTGCTGGTTTTGTGAGCTAGTAGCAAAAGATTTCCAAGGGAAAAAACCCCGTGAGTCTGTATTCTTTTTTTCTTCAGGATCCAAGGGGCAACAGGATCTTGCAGTGGCAAAATGTGAAGTCAGAGATGAACATTATTCAGCTGGAATTCCCACTCACTGAAGAGCCTATCCTGGGGAACTACAAAATTATTGTATCAAAGAAGTCAGGAGATAGAACAAACCACTCATTCCATGTGGAGGAATATGGTAAATGCCATCCTTTTTTTTATTCAGTAGGAAATATTATCAGAGATGAGCCCATATCAAGCAACCTTCTTGACTGCTAAAACATCAAACAGCTTCCTGGCAAATGTAGCTTCAATTAATTGTCATTAAGAACTGGGGAGATTAAAAAAGAAAAAGAACAGTAAAAAATCCCCAAGAAAAATTTACAATTTGTCATACAATTAGCCAGCAAAATAATCTGCACAAGAAATCAGCACATTGATTGCAAATTTCAATGAGACAAACTAAATTTTTCCCAGCTATGTCCATGAACTTTCTTTGCCAAAACTCTGCAAGGAATCTAGACATCACAGGATTTGTTTCAGAAGTCCTGTCTTCTCTTCAAATTGTTTCAGAAATGCTTCAGTAACCCTTTGCAGATCTGGTCAGTTCTTAATCATTTTGCCACCTGGGTTCTGATATCCCATTCCCTCTATTACTAACAAGAAGATATATCCTTTTTGCTTTCATCTTATGAGGGTCTGCAAATTTACAATATGCCAGTGTTGGGTTTTTTGTTTTTGCTCTTTATCCTAGTGCTGCCCAAGTTTGATGTCACAGTCACGGCACCAGAAAGCCTCACAGTCCTGGATTCGGAGTTCACAGTGAAAGTCTGCGGGTTGTAAGTACCAAGTGCAGAGTTGTCAGGGAATATGCTGAAGTGGAAGAAATTCCCAAGCACTGGGTAAAGAGCCATGGCTTAGAGAAGAAGCCAAAATATGTAGGGCCCCAGAAGAGGTTGGTGGGGGTTTACTTGGTCTTTGGAGCTTTCATTTATTTGTCTGCTCATGTCATTTTAATGTATAAGTATTTGGTTCCACGTGGTGTTGTACAAGGTGGGTAAATCTGTTGAGAGGTTCCCTGGTAAAGTAGGATGTGTCTACTCCCAACAATCCACTTCAGAGGGACACCTTCATAAAGCAGAGTGGCATTAAATTCTAGCAGGGATCTTACGGTTCCAGCTGTCTAACTCCCCCTCCAAGCTTGCTCCTTCAGAAAGACCTTGCTTATACCAACACCAAGATCTTGTAATTTGGAATCCAGAGTTGAAATCCCAATCCTCTAGCAGATATGAGGAGTTTTGCTTTGATTTCAGTGAGCCTGGAGCTCCAGTTTAAGCTGAAGATTGGCAACAACAGTCCTAATTTGGTCAGTTGCCACATCTGTTCATTATGTTTATAGAGGTATTTGGTTCAAAGTGTAGCTTTGTTTCATAGGTTTAGGTGTGAAAAAGAACTAATTTTGATTTCTGAGTTGTATTTTCTATTTTGTTAAAGCAGGAGAGTTGGGAAAAACCTGTGAAACTATTCCATGCTCTGGCTTCCCAGCTCACTGCTGTCCTGGATCTATTCCTGCACACATTAGCTTAAGATTGTTTTTCAAGCATTAGCTCACAGACCTCATCAGATCATATTTCCTCTTCCCCTAGGTACACCTATGGCCAGCCTATTGAAGGGAAAGTCAAGCTCAGTGTGTGCAGGGATTTTGATTCATATGGGAGGTGCAAGAAAAGCCCAGTTTGTCAATCATTTACCAAAAATGTATGACACATAATTATTATTCCTCTTCATGCTTGTCCTCTCTTCCGTGTTCTTGTTTCTCTCCCTTTGCTCATCACATTTTGCTTTCTCTCTTTGATGCTTCTCTGGTCCCTACTCATCTCTTTGCTGTATCGCTGGCTAGGAGCTTGGGGCACCTAATTTCTCTTCTTGGCCTCCTGCAGGCCTGAAGGATTGACATGCCTCTTTTTCGTGACTCAGTTTCCCATAAACATATATAAATCATGTTGAAAGTACTGAGAAAGGCTTCATTCACTAAAGAAGGATCCTGTATATTGTAAACACCCTTTGCAAGCTATGATCCTTGACAACAGGATTTGTTTTCTTCCCTCCAGCTGGAGACAGATGGTTGCCTCTCCCACGTCTTCAGCTCCAACATCTTTGAGTTACATCGCACTGGTTACATGAGGAACCTTGACGTGAAAGCCACTGTGACAGAGAAAGGAACAGGTAATCCCTTCCAGACAGGCAGAAACAGCAAAAGTGGTGTGGTCAAGAAGGAGAATAGGAGATAGCCTCTGCTTGCTGAGTACCAGAATGTCCCCCTGAGGAGGGTTGTTTTTACAAGCACAGTGACATCTCCAGGCAAACTCTGCTGATGCTCTGTGCAGGACAAAGTATATCTTCTCCTAACTCTGGACATGTCTTCCAGGCCTGCAATTTACAGCTGCTGAGGTTATTTCCATAACTCGGGTGGTGAGCACCATACAGTTTGAGAACATGGATCGCCACTTCAGAAGAGGAATTCCTTACTTTGGACAGGTAAGCAAGAGCTTGGAAGGCTTGTGTTGAAGATGATTGAGAGGCAATCACATAACAGCAATAATGGCAACATCTAGGGGACTGTTTGGTTGGGGGTGTTCTCCCCAGTCCTTTTCCTTACATACAATGCCCTACTGGTAATTCTGAATGCTGAAGACTATTAGTTCATTCTGAGTCTGATTCTGCCAGAAACACTTGAAATCAGAACAATTCATTAGCTAGTATTTCTCTAACTTGCATTTTAAGCTTGCTATAAATCACTGCCTCTCCCTTCAGAACTGACTGTCACATGCCAGCCAGACATGAATAGAAACACTGGTGGAGGAGGGAAGAAAGAGGGAAAGGAATTTAGGACACACAAAAAATCAGGGAAATAACAAGAGTTTCTGTCTCAGAAAGGTTTTTCATTATTTTGTTTCATGACAATACCCACATAACTCTGTCAGTTGTTTAAAGGGTAGGGATAAATCTCTCTCCTTCGGTTCATTTTTTGCCAATGAGTTAAAAAATAAGGGGGACCAGTAACACTGAAAGGAGACAAAATTGTCTTTTAAAGGTGGGGTTTTTCCCCTCTGTAAAGTCTATATAACTTTCTTATTTGGTTCGCATTCCCACTCTGTTCTTTTTCTTTAAAAAAATCAAAATGAATGCTCACTTCTAGCAACATAGAATTTACTTAATGTGATCTGTTACTTGTTTAACACATAAACAGTGGAGACAGTGTAGACAGAATCAGAAAAATGTTTAAAGCAAAGATGTGGAGAAAAAGTTTTCACACACTGCAAATAGCAGCAGCAGACTCTCAAGACTAAGGAAGGAAAAAAAGGAAGGGAGAAATGAAAATATATATTTCAAACTGGAAATGTATAGTCAGAAGGGACTGATCAGGAAAGAGATGATTCATTCAAGTTCTTGCTCCACAAGAGGACATTATCGGTGGTGTGGCAGGTGCTGAGGAACCTCCTGCTCCAAACCTCATAAGGTAGCTCAGATAGTTGCCAAAAAGCAAAGACAGAAATTTCAGTCATCAAGTATGGCTTTGAAGGAAGACAAAAAAGTAATTCTGCTGTTTGGAGAGCAAAGGAGTGCAAAATATCAGTATCTACATACAGAAAAACATTCAACATGTTTCACATTCCTTTTTACAGATCAAGCTGGTTGACAAAGACAACTCTCCAATTTCCAATGAGGTCATTCAGCTATATGTCAATAACAGGAATACAGACAACTTCACCACGGATCATAATGGTGTTGCTCAGTTTAGCATTGACACATCCGAAATGCTTGATCCCGAGATCAGTCTGAAAGTGAGTACAAAACAAGGCTGAATAAAGACAAAGAGAGAGATGGCTGCTCTCAAACTGAACCCAAAATAAATAGAATTGGGTTTTAATTCTGGTAATGAAAATATGCTTTCTTCATCATTGTTCATTGTGTAGAGCTCTCAAAAACTACTATAAGAGGAGTGAGGAAAACATCTGAGTTGTTGCAATGCAATGGATTGCTGCAAGGCTACTCTTTCCTCACCAGTTTTGCTTTAGATGCAGTTCTTATCTATACGCATTATGTGAACTAATCATTCTGATGTCAGAATGTGGTGACAACTTCCCTAGTGACATGTGTCTGTTTTCCTTTTCTTCCCCACTCCCCCTTGTGTTCAGGCAGTTTATAAAACCAGTGACCACTGCCACTATGAAGGCTGGATAGAGCCCTACTACCCAGAAGCGTCTCTCTCCGTCGAGCGCTTCTACTCTTGGACTGGCAGTTTTGTGAGGATTGAGCCCGTGTGGAAACACCTGAAATGTGGGCAGAAGAGGGTGATCACTGTGCACTATGTCCTAAACACAGAAGGATACAAGAGAATCAACACCATGAACTTCTACTATGTGGTGAGTATGAGGTTGTGGGTTGGTTTGCTGAAAGGGCTTCGCTGGGCAACTCTCTGGAAATCCATCCACAGGAAATTACAGCAGTGAGTTATCTTCATGGTATTCTCTGTCCCCCTTTTCCCTTCCTTTTGCTCCTGCTTTGTGACCAGCAACAAGGTCCCCAGCAGCAGCAGTGGGAATATTCAGCATGCCCTAAGGCTTATGTTTAAGCATTTGAGATCATCTCATTTTAGATTGTCCTGTCCATGCATAATGAACCTGATTGCTGCTTTCTCCCTCCAACTTCTGCCAAGCCATACATGTCTTGATATTCTCTGCACAGGGCATGGCAAAAGGCAAGATTGTCCTTACCGGGGAAATTAAAGTTAATATCCAAGCTGGTAAGTTAAGTTGCCAATCCATGTTTTTGCATTAAAACAAACAAAGAAACAACCAAACACCCAGATGGTTGAATATAGCAGCAACAGGAAGGGCTGCATCTCTCTCCACCCATGCTTGTGTGCATGACAGTAGCACTACCACTAAGATCACTATAAGTCAGGTTTAGTCCAGCAATTACTGAATTGTATATTAGTCAAATAGTGTTCTCTAAAGATCTTCCCAAAGGGTGACATAGGGAATGCAGAATGTCTGCTTTAGTGTCCTATCTGAATATGGCCACGTGTTCAAATCTGCAATAAATCTGAGACCACCTGGATTAAATCCAGGCCCATCACCTCCTGGAAAATTGTTCAGTTTATCATATTCAGATTGCTCCACTGACTGGTAAAGTTACAGACCTGTTGAGTTTGGCTACTATTACGGTAAACCTTTGATATTCCTTCCTTATTGATGCCTTTATTTCTCTGACAGGCCAGAATGGCACTTTCACCATTCCCCTTGTGGTCAGTGAGAAAATGGCTCCAGCCCTTCGGTTGCTGGTGTACACCTTACACCCTGACAAGGAGCTGGTGGCAGACAGTGTTCAACTGCCAGTTGAGAAGTGTTTCAAACACAAGGTGAGAGGCACTGAGATATAGCAAGCCTTACCTGCTGTCAGATAAATACAAATTCTTTGTGTATACATTCACAAGAGATTTCCAGTTTTGTTTCTTGTTTCTTTCCCCTTCTCTCTACATTACTCCTTTTATTTCTCTCTTTTCTCTTTTGCCTTATATCTTTCATCTACCACTACCTCCTGGCCTTATTGTCAGAAGACATATCTTCCTTTAACATTAAAAACTTTTCAGGAGACCCACATAAATCCCAGATTATTCTTGCCTCGCTTAAACTCTACTAGTGTTTGATTCCGTTTTTAGACTTTCTATTTTTCAACATAGTGAACACACTTTAAACTTATCCCACTTCATCATTCAATCAAATTTTTTACTCTTTTTTGTTGAAAAATGCAATTTAGGTTTAGCAGAACTAAATACACACAGAAAAGAAAGCCAAAATAGTAGTCTGGGGTTTAAGTATTTCTTCCTCTTTTTTTAATGTACATTTTCATTCATCATTATAAACTCAGATTTCACCAGTAATATTTTTCTAATCTTTAGCTCCTAAAAGCTAAAATGCATGAAATTGTAGAACAGGACAAACCAAGTGAAATGAAACAAAATGTTTCTAGTTGCCCCTCCTATTTTTTTCCACTTATCTTATACAAATGTGAAACAGATTTTGTTCCAAATAGATTCAAAATCTGTTTCCTAACATGGGCCATGGACCTAGGAAAAATATGATTTGTTCACTGTAGGGATTAGTGTATGTAGTAAAGTCATAATAATTTTCTATTTGATTTGATAATGACAGCAAAAGAATCACACTTTGTTTTAATTCACTTGAGGTAGGCTTCATTTAAAGAATCTAAATATGCTTATTGCCTAAGTCCCTGTTACAACAGAGGCCTGGCCAACAGCTACAGTGGAGACCAGACATTCTCCTCCAGGCAGATCTTCTGTGCTTTAACAGAAAATCCTTCCACTGTCCTTCTTGCCCTCCACTCACACACACAGTCAGAGCAGCTCCAGCAGCATGGGTCAGCCATGCCAACGTCTGTTTGATGAATTTCAGGTCCACTTGGAATTCTCTGAAAAGCAGCTGCACCCAGCTTCCAATGTCAGTCTGGTCATTGAAGCTGCTGCCAACTCCTTCTGTGCTGTGAGGGCAGTGGATCAGAGTGTGCTGCTCCTGAGGCCAGAGAAAGAGCTGTCCATGGAAATGGTGAGCTGCCAAATGCCTTGTGTCTTCCCATTGCTTCTTCCTCCTCCATTACAGTGTCTCTCCACTTGAGATCATTAGACTGAGTTAGAGTTTTACAGCTTCTGGTACGTGCTGGTCATAAGCCATCTTTAGTAGGCAATAAACAGATTTTGTTTCCTGTGGACTGCAAGTCCTCTTTCATCTGGGATTTAGTTTAACCTGTGACTGGTCTCTGGCAGCACAACCCTCCAGCATATCTGCCACTACTCCCAGTACTGTGCCATCACCAAACTTGCTGAGGGTAGACCCTTGCTGCAACATCCAGATCATCACGGAAGATGTTGAGCAAGATTAGATCCAGTACTGGAGTACCCCGTGGTACATCACTGGTTGCTGGCCTCCAGCTAGACTGTGTGCCACTGATCACTGCCCTCTGATCCCAGCCATTCAGCCATTTCTCAGTCGAGGAAACAGGCATGGTTTCAAACAGGCTGTCATCTCAGTTTTGGCAATTTGCAGTATTTGATGGTGCCGGTAAGGTTGATGTTTACATACTCACAGTTCCTGTTTCCTTACACCTCACAGGTTTACAGCCTGCATCCCCTACAAGACTTTCAAGGCTACATCTTCCATGGGTTCAATCTAGAAGAAGACTCCAAAGAGCCCTGTGTCTCATCTGACCACATCTTTCACAAAGGCTTGTATTACACACCTGTAATGTCTGGATTAGGCCCAGATGTGTATCAATTCCTCAGGGTAAATGTCCTGTACATTACTTAAATATGTTTTAGTGAGTTTCTGCTTATGTAGTGTTAGATTCTGCAAACAGAATATTTTTATATTAGTAAAATAGATCTTTATGTTAGTAAAATATTAGTAAAAATATTAGTAAAATATATTTTTATATTAGTAAAATATTAGTAAAACTCATACACTACAAACTCTCCTCTTAGATCTCTATTCTCAATTGATTCTGGTGCCTGCTGTGATTTTCCAGCACACACAAAGCTCCCAACGTGTCTCTGGGCACCTCTGTGCTGGAAACACAGCAATGGGAAAGAGGGAAAAATGGAACAAATATCAGCTACAATGTGGTTATGGCTAACACTAAAATGTGTTTTTTACAGGATATGGGAATTAAATTTTTTACCAACTCGAAGGTTCGACAGCCAGTTGTGTGCACTGGTGAGACTGTAAGGCGCCAACCATACGTAGTGAATGCAGGGCATGTGGCTTCTGCACATCACATCAAATCATCAGGTAATACAGAGGACAGGAAAGAGATTTACCTTTCTCCTTAAAGGAGGAGGTATTCTTGTTGTACACACATGCACAGTACTCATTAACCACTTTGGTTTTGATATTAAATATTGGCCTGGCATTGAAGGAGATAGCTAAAGCTAATGGCCTATGCCCAAAAGAGTCTTTCAGGTCTACACTTCTGATTCATCTCCAGTTTCATGCTGGGAATTGTTGGCAATTGGCAGTGTCACACAAAACTAACACTTGACATTGATTGTCTTCTGACCAGAGCTAGTTGGAAAAGACTGTGAGAATATGTGAACAGTAATCAGAGCTGAGTCAAGTGTTCTGAGTTCTAGCCCTAGGTCTCATGCTCATGAGAGACCAAAACACTTCAAGCAATGTTTTCTTTTTCCTTTGATGCCAGGTTATACCTAACTGAGGGATATATTAGCAGCATTTAATAACATTGGTGTGGCCATATGTGTATATAAGAATATTATATATTCTCAGTCAGAAGGTAATGGTAAAACACTTATTGTCCTTCATACTGGCCCATGCACATTCAAACCTGTCCTTTCTGGGCATGCCCATTATATGAACCAGGCTTTACTAAATTCTCATTATCTCTTACCAGCTGAAGCTGCTAGGGAGGAACGAGAGAGGGCACTCATCCTTGAGACTATTCGGGAATTCTTTCCTGAAGCTTGGATTTGGGATATAGTTCCAATTAAGTGAGTACTGCTTCTTTCATATCTTTGCCTTGCTTTAGGAATTACTAAATATGTTCTCTGATGTCCTGCAAGGTGGCAATCCCTTGCAAACTCTTCTTCCTTTTTGGCCCAGAATACCTCGTTTTTCAGTTATCAGCTGCCCATCTGCCCTTCTCTTTTCCATGGTCTAGTTCCAAAGATGTCCCTAAAGACATCTGTTGCCACAATGTGTGCACCATGACTCATATTCCCTTCCTCAGTAGGACACGTCTATTTAAAATACAGATTTGCAGAACAAGAATTCTGAGTTGCCTTTCCAAACTCTAGGATATGATGGGCAGAGGAACATTTAAATGGTTAAAAATTTCTCAAATTTTAGTGATAAATTCCAGGGATTGTATGTGGGATTTCTGCAGACAGAAGAGGGGTAGTTCTGGTCCTCAAAACTTGTTGCATATACTGAGAAGCAAGTTATCTGAAATTTACTGTTTCTGAAGCTTTCATCCTTTCTCCATTCCCACCAGCTCCACTGGAAAAGCCAGCATCTCATACACCATCCCCGACACCATCACCAAATGGAAAGCCAGCGCTTTCTGTGTGGAAGGGGTGGCTGGATTTGGCATGTCTGTGCCTGCCACCCTGACAGCCTTGCAGCCCTTCTTTGTTGACTTGACCTTGCCATACTCCATCATACGAGGAGAGGATTTCCTGCTTAGAGCCACTGTCTTCAACTACCTTGACCACTGCATCAAGGTGTGTACTTCTGCCCACATTCCTAGACCTTATCCCATCTCCAAAGAAGCTGCAGCAAAATGTTTGGTGCAGGTGGCTGGACCTGCTCTTGACTGAGGTACTGCTCATTCTAGCTGACAACAGATTATCGTGACTGGATTTGTCCTCTCAGAACAAACAGTACAGAGCAAAGGGAGACCTTGTGAGCTGTACTAGGCCAAATCTGTAAGGCAGCTGTATATCAAGATCCATAGAGAAAGGAAGCAAGTGCTTTGCACATTCACCATCCACAGATATGCAAGCCATCGATGGTTTCACTGGGGTCTTTTCCTTAAGAATCAGGTGTGCATAGGATGCTTAACATCCTGTGTTAACAGTGAGACTATTGAGAGAAGCAAGAGGGAAAACTGTTGAAGTTACATCTGATGGGTGTTTAATCAAATATCATCATCATCCAAGGCCTTAAATGTGCCCTACACTTAACTCCATATGTAAGCAGAGAGTGTTTCACCTCCTCTGACAATAAAGCACCATTTGCAATATGGTACAAAACCTTCATCCCATTGCATTACTCTTTCTGTTCTCAGATTAGTGTCTCACTGTCAGATTCCCTTGATTATCAAGCCAAACTCATCTCCTCAGAGGATGATGGATGTGTATGTGCCAAGCAAAGAAAGACCTATGTTTGGAATATTTTCCCAAAAGCAATTGGTAAGTGTTTTGAATCTACTTAGTTTTATGTTCCAAGATTGATACTAATTTATATCTTACCTGAAAAACTTATTGCTTTTCCAACCCAGAGAGCTTGGCCTACCACTGTTCTTCCCAGTTCTCTGGATTAAAAAGCTTCTCCACAGCTTCAGTGTCTTTATCATTGCCATTTTTAGAGATCAGTTCTCTTCCCATATGTCTCACTTAGAGTGACTGACCATGCATTACGTTGAACTACTTCATGTTATTAATCTGATTAAATGTCTTACTTTGTCCATCATCCTGCATGGCAGAGGTCCATTTCTTTCCTTTTTTTTTGCTGCTATTTAAGGTAATGTGGTGTTCAGCATTACTGCAGAGACCAAGGATGATGAAGCTTGTGGAGACAAAGCTCCCAGAAACATCAGTATTGCCTACAGGGACACCCAGATCAGAACACTGCTGGTTGAGGTACTGCTGGCAGCTCTTACTGTTTGTCCTGCATTCCTTTTCCCGACGAAACTAAAACACAGTGGGAGTACCAAAAGCAAGGAAAAGTTTTTCAGGTTCCCTAAAGAACTCCTGGTATTGCTCCACCTTCATTTGTCTGGGACAGGGTAAGGCTGTTAAATCTATGACCAAGTCCACTCCCATCTGATGTCCTCTTCCATGAGGATCAGTGGGTGTTGACATGTCTCCCTCATGCAGAGGAGAAACTGGAAATGAGGGGCTCCATCTGATGTGATCTCCCTTTTAGGAGCAGCCACATCATCCATGAACTTGTAAACTGTTGCTTCAATCCACTTGTTCTGCAACATAGGAGGTTGGGGAAGGGGGTGGCATGTTGACATTGAATTTCTTCTGCATGCTTTTGTCTCATCCACTGCATGTGTCTTTTCTTTCCATCTCCTTGCAGCCTGAAGGACTCAGAAGGGAAGAGACTCAAAACTCCTTAATTTGTACAGAAGGTAAGGGTCATACGTACCACTGTTGTAAGAAGAACTGAAAGGAAGTTTGGAGTCTGCACTCTTTCCTGAAGTGTTTGTTGATGCTTTCCCTTTCCTTTTTCCCAAATCTGTCCATATGACAGCTAGTATGAGTGTAATATGAGTGAAAAACATGTTCCCTGCTACCAAATTCTTGTGTGGTCAGGTGCATATCACTGAGGCAGCATCTGTGCCTTGCCCAGATGTGCTCAGGTGTTGCAGAAAGGCTGCTATGAAGCTCTCAAAGGGAGATGACCTTTCTGTGCAAATTATGTCCAGAGTTTCATTCACTCATGTTCAGTGCTGTCCTCTATTCCATGGATACCTGTATCTTACAGCTTTCCACCTCTGGTGGGAATGGGAGAGGGAATGTAATGTTCCTTCCCACACCATCTCAGTGCTGATGGCAAACAGCTCCTAAGGTTTGCTGACTGGCCTAAAAGAGGTAAAAAATCTGCTCTACCAATAGTGTCACTGAATGAATTCCCAAGGGTCACAGGTAATACAACCTGTGAGCACCAACCTTACCCTGTTTCACTGGTTTCTATTGAGCAATGACAATGACCTCACCTCTTGATCTTTTATTCACAATTTCAGTTTTGCTGTGTCCCCTTCTCTCTTCGTGTTCTTGGTGAATGCTGTGAGTTTCACTTTATTGCTGTCACTTGTGTGCAATTTTGTACTGTGCAATTTGTAACAGGAACATTTCACTGTTATAATTAGTATTCCTCTACAAATGACAAATATTTTTCTCCACAGATGATGCAGTTATTCAAGACATATCTCTAGAGCTACCTACAAATGTTTTGGAAGGATCAGCCAGAGCCTCCTTTTCTGTTGTTGGTAAATATGTAATAATTAAAACATTTTTAAAAGAAAATATAGAAAATGTAACAGGAAAGCTCTTTCAGGATTCAAAATGTGAATTTCCACTCCTACTGTGGGAAACTTTTGAGAAAAGAGACTGATTCTCCTCTTGTCCAGCAATGCTCTGCATCAGCAAGATGAAGTTTAAATACCAGTTGCATCACTCTTCACTATTCTGTTTAAATTTAGTGCATTTGATAGTCTTTCTCTGAAGCAGCAGCACAGTTCTGACTATGACCTCAGCCAGATTCATACCAGTATGGTGTTTTTCTACACACTCAACTACAAATCGGAGATGCTAGTAGAATCTATTCAGTCTGTTCAGAATATGGATTTGGTTACATGACTCACTAGCCATAAAATCCTTGCTTAGTGACTTTTAGAAGCTCTTTCCAGAAATCCCTTCCTGGGTCTGTGCTACCTTTCCTAGAAATAACAACTAAGAGGTGGTCTGTGATACATCTGCATTATCAACGTCTCTTTGCAGCATTAGCTGTTAATTTTGCAATAAATGCTTGCAATAATTAGCTCTGGCTATTCCCTTCCATCCTCTGGTAACAGAAGTTTCCTGTAAGTTCCCTTCATTTCCAGCAAGAAGTATCTGCTTGAAGTGGCACCAAAACAAGGAGTGTTTCTGGTAAGGGCAATTTAGACTATGCAAGGATAGGCAGGGAAAGGATTCTTTGTTGACTGCAAAGCAGAACAAAGTTCTCTTTGGAAGGCTCTGTCATGGTTTGAGCCTGGCACAGAGCCAGTGCCCCCCATGAAAATGCCTTCACCCTGGTGTCTGCTGTGAGATGTGACCAGGAATAAGCAAAACAGGCTCCAACTTAAACATAAAGAACACTTTATTACTTAAACTACAGGAAAATAGGGAAAGACTATAAGGAAAAGAAAAAAAATTGAAAACCTTACAAAAACCATTTTCCTCCTCCCCACTACCTGACTTTCCCAATCCGATACATTCTCCCAAATCATCAACTGCCCAGCCTTGGCCCCACACTTTAGTATACTCAAACTGCAGTTCATGAAGAGGAAAGGAGTCCTTCTTGTTCCATAGGCTTCTCCTGGAAACACACTGAAACCTCGTGTGCTTCCTTGTCACTTCGGCACCGCCCGGAAAAAGTCCTTTTGCCGCTTGTGACATCTTCCTTCCATGCCCAGTGCTCTCACCACTGAGGCATGGCCAGAGCTGCTTTTAGGGTTGTCTTTCAAGGATGCCTTGTCTCACTCCAAAAAGGCACAGTCTCTGCTTTGGGACATCTGTCCCCCCCATATTTTTCCAACCCCCTGGGGCCGGGGGGTCCTCACGAATGAACCCTCCTGGTTTTGAGGCACTGCCTCCCCCTAAATGCAGTCTGTGTCACAGGAACAACTGAGTCCATGGCCACAAGAAAAGTCCAGCCAAAAGGCCACTCCAAATCATCTCTCCCCATTCAATCATCTCCACGTTCTTCGGGCCAGGTCCTTGTCTCATCTCATCTCTTATCTCCCTTCTTATTCAGCTTCGAGGAGGATTAGCATTTTTGCAAGGCCCCAATCATGAAAGAAAGGGTTAAAAGTTTTCAGTCTCTGTCTATCTCAGAATGCTGGTACTCCCACAGGTGCTGCTGCTCCGCCGGCCAGGCTGCACTCTTCCCTCCCCTTTCTCCTCCCGGGCTGGCTGCTATCACATTCGCCGGCTCTCCTCTCTCTCCCTCCTGGGGGGGGAATGGCTGCCCGATGTCTCTTGGGGCTCCTCCACCCTTCCATCCTTGAGGGCTTTCTCACCCCCATCTCTGTCCAGGCCCCGGGCCTACCGCATGGCTGCCCCTCCCCCCCCCCAGCAGTAGAGGCTGGACGGGGGAAGAGATCTGACCTCTTCGAAGCGACGTCCCAAGAGAGAGATCCAAGGGCAGTGCCCTGCTTTTTAACCCCTGTGTATTCTCGGAGGTGTGTCCAAACCCCACTGGCTACACTAGGTGCCAGTCTCAAACCCAAAACTTTCATTGGTTTGACCACAGCTTCCCAGAATTCCCACTCCTTCCTGGTCAAACCACCACAGCTCCCAACCCCTGATAGGTTTTTATGACTCCGCCTGTGAAATGGAAATTACTGGTAATTTGAGTGACCACGAGTTGTGCTGATGCCCCTCTCTCATCTCCTCTTCCCCAGGTGACATCATGGGCACTGCCATGCAGAACCTGCACCAGCTCCTCCAGATGCCCTTTGGCTGTGGGGAGCAGAACATGGCCCTCTTTGCACCCAACATCTACGTCCTGGACTATCTGAACAAGACAGGGCAGCTGAGCAGGGAGGTCAGATCCAAGGCCACTGGATACTTAGTGAGCGGTGAGAGCTTTGTGGTTCCCTTACAACGTGTGCTGAGATTCCTGCTGAGGGCCTGTGAGCAGCAGCAGCAGCAGCAGCATGTCTACCCTTGCAGGTGGCAACACACTTGTAGCACAGCCCAGAGACCCAAGGATTTGCCCTGAACAAGACTTTTTTTACTTTCCTTTATCTTCTTATCTTATGTCTTTTTGCTGACATTCAACTGCCATGTTTTTCCTTTGAGGCTTTGTCTTCCAATCCCCTTCTCTTTTCCCTCTCAGGCACAACATGTATCCTGATCCTGTATGCTTATTTGGAGCATTGAGCTGATAGATCCCTGCCTATTCTCTCAGTGTTTCTGCCAGACAAGATGTTCCATACTTCCATTCATAGGATCCCTCAGAGCTCCCCTCCTGCTTGTTAGATGTACATTGCCTTTCCATTCTTTCCCAGACAAACACGTCAGCAAGCAAAATAGGGGTTTGCTTTTACATCCAAGAGCACTTCCTTTTCCGTGTTCTTGCAGGCTACCAGAAGCAGCTGTCATACAAACATCCTGATGGGTCCTACAGCATCTTTGGCACCAGAGATAGGGAAGGGAACACTTGGTAAGTGACTGGGGGCAGAATAGGCTCAGAGATGAATTTACATTCAATTATTATGGTGCAGGTAAGAGGCAGCTTTACTGGCTGAATCAGATGTACAGAGCTGTCTAGGACTGGGCATTGGGAAGTACAGAAGGAAATGTCTCCATCCTCTGCCAGGCCAGGGGCATGAAAAGAAGTTGATCCCTAAAGACCCAGCTGACTTTCTGATTCACACTCCTGCTGTCTCAAATGAAAGCCATTGCACTGTGATGCTCTGTAGACAGGACCAGCCACAGAGTGTGCTGGATGGACATGCTCCCCATGTCCCACCTAGCTACCACTCCTTTAACTATTCTCTCTCTGAGGAGCACACAAAGAGAAAGCAAGGCACCAGCATGCTGGCTGTAACTCATCATGCTCTTCAGCAGAATGAACGGGAGGGCTGATTTCTTCTGTTGCTTCCAGTGCTCATCTCACAGCTTCATCCTTCCCTTGCAGGCTCACTGCCTTTGTGTACAGATCATTTGCACAAGCTGGTCGCTTCATCTACATTGATGACCGTGTCCAGTCTCAAACCCTGCTGTGGCTGTCCAGCAAACAGAAGCTAGATGGATGTTTCCGGAGTGTTGGCACACTCTTCAACAATGCCTTGAAGGTAGCAGAGAATTACTACTTGGTCAAATTTATACTTTTTCATTAAGAATATGTTCTCCGATTACTGCCAAAAACTAAAAATTGCTTGAAATACCTTCTTCCAAGGGCTAATTCTCCACATCTTATAATGAGTATTTTCAGCTCAGTCAGCTTTTGTACACCTGCTTTACATGTTATGTGCACCTGAGATAGGGTTACAAGAGTGTAAGCTTGAAGGAGTGATGTTTTTGGATTTAATAAGAAAAGGCTTCTCTGGATTTGTGAGCTATTCAAGAGCTATGTGACTGCTCTCTTTCCCTTCAGGCTGCCTGCAGAACTGTCCATACTCTCTCAACTGGGACATGGCAATTGATATTCAAAGGCTCTCATCTGTGGCATTTACAGATTATTCCTCTCTCCATGTTGTTTCCAGGGAGGAGTAGATGACGAGCTGTCGCTTTCTGCCTACACCACCATTGCCATGCTGGAAGCTGGGCACTTCAGCTCGGTAAGGAGACTTACCCGATACTCAAATGGAACTGGTCCCCAGCTGTTGCTTTGGGTCTAGCATCTGCTAAATTGTCTAGGTAGTAAGAGAGAGAAAGAGAGGGAGAGAGTCCCAGAGTAGGGGACCATGCTCTGTATCTGCACTGGTTGCTGTGACAGAGAAAATCTCCATCTCTACATCTCTTAAACCACCAATCTTTGAGCAGAAACTGTACAAACCTCTGTGGGATTACATCTTCTATTTGCCAGTCACAAAACATTTAGTGACTTCCTTTAGCTTCCAATAAAAAGACTTGATAGGTAGAAACCTACACATGACAGGTAGTAACCCACACACCTTGGCTTAGCCTCAAGGACAGCCCAGTCAAAAAAGTAAATTGTTGGAGGTAAATCTATAAAATCTACAAATGGAGCTAAAAGGTATGTTGGAAAAACAAATGTCCATCAGAGCAAAAGATGATCTGTCCTTTTCAAAATTTGGCAGTACAAAGGTGACTAGAGAGGATATGTTAGACTTCAATACATGAGTTAGCCTCCACTTTTTCATATCCTTTCTGGAGACATGGAGTCAAACTGTAAATTTTTTGTGGGTGTAAACCTAGTACAACATTGCAGAATTAAAGTTACACCAAAGTCAGTGAGGATAGAAACCACTAAGTTACATTTGTTCAAGACAACAAACTCTTGACTATAGAAATTCAGAGCAAATAATTATCATGGAGGTAAACAGAACGAATTATCTGTGAAATCTATAGACCAACCTTATCAAGAACACCATTAAAAGCTACTTGATTTGTTTGATGCTTCCTGCGAAATCTCTCCTTGAATAATTCTGTATTCTCTTTCCTGAAGTCATTATACAAGCTCAAGTCCCACTCTCATTGCTGTGATAGTGACAGGATGAGGAACAAGTTTAAAGAAAATAAATTTTTGAGCAGGTGAAGACTACTATCCTGAATTAAACTCATATGCTTTTTTGTTTTTAAGTACCCTGTAATCCGAAATGCCTTTTTTTGTCTGGAGACTGCGTCTGAGAAGAATATCAGTGAAGTTTACACCCAGGCACTCATGGCCTATGCTTTCTGCTTAGCTGGCAAGGCAGAAAAATGTGAATCATTCCTTGAAGAGTTACAGAAATCAGCAAAGGAAGTTGGTGAGTTTTGGTCACTTGGGGAGTTTGGGAAATGGGAAGATGGAACAGATCTTACTGATGGTCTAACCTTGACAATATTGAGAGAGTGGGCACATGAGCCAAACCACATGAATGATCTGTGGAGTTAATCTGCAGTGCATTCATTGATGTGCGGGCGTCCTTCTGAGGAAGAGGCCCAGACGCAGTGAGACTCCAAGGCAGCAGAGAGCAGTGGCACCTGTAATCAGTTGTGGTTCCTCTCTTTGTTTATTCAGATGGCTCACAGCACTGGGAGCAGGAGCAGAGGTCTCCATCAGACAAATCTCCCTCCTTCCTTGACCATGCCCCTTCGGCTGATGTTGAGATCACCAGTTACGTGTTGTTGGCATTGCTCCACAAACCCAACCGGAATAAAGAGGATCTCACCAAGGCCTCAGGGATTGTGCAGTGGATCATCAGGCAGCAGAATCCCTATGGAGGTTTCTCTTCTACCCAGGTGCCAAAACTACCTTCCATTCCACAGCTAGTCCTAGGAATTGGGGCACTGTTTTAGGGTTCCAGCAGGGCTCTGACTACCTAGTCCTGTTTCTCTTTTCTAATTGCTGTCTGAGAGAAACCAAACTTTCATATTAGGCGACCAAAATACTTTTTTCCCCCCTCTTCTTAACTATAGAAAGGTTGAAACCCTACAAGAGTAATTTGATTAGCAATAAATAGATATTTGTGTAGGGGATGAGCCTAGAAAACACCAAGTCCCATCTGTCAGATGACCCATGAGTTCTGTGTAGCTCCCCAGAAAACACAGACTTCCCCACTACAAAAAACTCTAGAAGTGCACTCTGCTTCTCAGATTTTATGTTCTGAGACCCTTGTGTCAGGAGAGAGATTCTCCTACCCTAAAGCATACATGAAAGAATGAAATGACTTCTTTTGTACAGGAAGCCTGGAATTATACACTAATTCAGGAAGAAGCAAGTGACTTTGATCTCCTCTGCACTTGTCATGCTGTGTAGCCAATTGTCTTTTATTATTTCTTTTTCTTCAGGACACAGTCATTGCCCTTCAAGCACTTGCTGCTTATGGTGAGGCCACCTACAGCTCTGCTTCACAAAACAGAGTCAAGATCACTTCCAAAAAGCCTTTTGAGAGGGTATTTTTTGTCAACAATGAGAACAGGCTCCTGGTGCAACAGACTCGCCTTCCAGAGGTCCCTGGGAAATACAGCCTGACAATGAACGGCAGTGGATGTGTATTTATGCAAGTAAATGTCTGCTTTCTTCTTCATTGTCTCTCACATTTTGCATACAAGATAGTCATTGTTTTGATGATTTTCTAGCTGACTCCTCTTTATTTTTCCCAATTGCTTGATTTCCCTAAACCATTTAAACACTCTTTTTCCCATCCCACATCTCTGAGTCCTAGGGAGTTCTGGCATGGAAAAAGAGTCCTTTCTGATCACCATCTGGCTTCTTTCTGGGAGGTGACTCTGGGTACAAGCACCTTCATTGTTAAAGAGCAGAAGTCACGTGTTCATCATTGATATAAGCAAGCATCTTCCATATAAAACCAAGTGTAACATTGCCAGAAAACTTCACTAAGTCTGTTTTTTTGGAATGCAAAAAAAACTTTGGTATTCTTGAACAAAAGGGTTTTTTCCTCTTCCAGACAGCATTGAGATACAACATTCACCTTCCAGAGGGGTCCTCTGGATTTCTGCTTTCAGTACAGACATCAAATGCTTCCTGCCCACAGGACAGACCAGCAAAATTTGATATTGTCCTCGTAAGCAGGTAATGTGCCACCAGCAAACCAGCTGCACAGATGACAAGGCACACACAGAACATTGCTGTGTGTTTTCACTGCAGCTGATGAAGTCATGAACCACAGGCTGATCAATATGCTGCTGGTATCAGCCTGTTAGACACAGAGTCCCCAAAGACCCTGACAGGGCCCTCTGTTGTTTCAGCTACACGGGGAAACGCAGCAGCTCCAACATGCTCATCATTGATGTGAAGATGCTCTCTGGCTTTGTTCCTGTTAAGTCATCCCTGGATAAGGTAAACTTAGAGGAGCAAGGCTAAATTACCAGAGGCATGGTTAAGAGCCATTCAGCCACAGACGCTGTGAGGTGTTTGCATGGCTCCACTGTTCATTCCTGGGTGGAGGGAATGCCCTCCAGGGAGCTTCAAACACACTGACCCTCCTGTATTTAAAACTAGGAAGGGTTTCAGCTCAAGCCTCAGCAGCTGGCAGCCACAACTGGGCAGTGCCCAGGTAGGGAAAGGGTGGGAAACCTCTCAGACTAGCTCTGAAATGCAGATCACACCAGAGTCAGGCAGAATTCCACAAGTGAATTGCAGTGACTTGTGCATTTGGAAAGAGCTCATACCCCCAGCAAAGTCAAGTGGTAGGTTTTTGTCCATCCTTTCAATCTATTGGACTCTATTTGGACTCTAAAAGTCAACTACCAACCCTTGAAACTTGACTAGGAGAAGAATGAATACCAATGCAGCAGTAGGGTCTGAGGCAGCACTTGTTTTGTAATGTTTTACAAATATATCTCCATTTTCTTGATTCAAAGCTCATTGGCAGTCGAACAGTGATGCAAGTAGAAAACAAGAAAAATCACCTCCTCCTTTATCTGCAAAATGTAAGTTCTGGTCACTGTCTATTTGATTTTTACAAAGGATGGAAACAGCATGTAATAGGTATAACCACAATATGGATACCCCCTATATAGTGCATTTATCATGTTCTCTTCCTCAACAGTCTTCTACCGTTATCACTAAGCTGCTTACTTCCCAAACTGCATGTAACTTTCCAATGTTCCAAACAGCTTCAAACTGACAACTGTCCTGCCATCAACTACAACATCAAAAATGTTCATTAAAAAAAAAAAACAAGCACGTTGAAATTATACAAAATTCTTTCTTATTTTAGTAAAAAGCAGATAAACACCAGAAAAGTGGTTCCCTTGTGTTTATGCCTCTTTGGTAGGCTTCTTATAAACCTCAGTCTTTCCAACAGGACACGAAACACTGCTTTCATTCTCCTCTAGAAAGATTTTCTTTGCTTCTCTTACACTAGGTCATTGCAAAATTCTGCTTGTAATCTAATCCCTGAATCAGAATTTGCTTAGTAAATAATTTGCTCAGGGCACTGTAGAGCTAACAGAAGCCAATACCCCAGTGATGGACTCTGTAAACAGTTTCTTGGTGGCACATAATGTCCATGTCTGAAATGGGAGGAATTGGAATACCAGACTTTATTATCCTGACTGTTGGGAGGTCCTGGAAAATTAAACTCAGTCCCTTTGGGCAATTTTCCCACCCCTGGCAATAGGATATGCAATAATTACAGAATCAGGTGATACAAGCAGCACAGAAAAATCTATTAACTTTTCAGTTCAGTTTCACTTTGGACTCTCCAAACATGTTTGGATAATGTCTGTCCCGTATCTGTGGGTGTGGCATCAGTGGGATTTGGAATATGCAGCCTGTCAGTTACCATCCTTGTCTGGTTTGCATGGTGCTGTACAAATAAAAAGACTGATGTGATCTCTGACCTTCCATCCCAGCTCTCACAGAAGAAAAGGAAGGAAATCACTTTCTCAGTTGAGCAGGACTTTGTAGTGACCCACCCCAAGCCAGCACCTGTGCAGATCTACGACTACTATGAAACAGGTATGGCTTTGATTTTAACCAGCGTGAAGAGTGGGGACAGGGACAGCAGAAACAGTGTGCCTTAAGGGACACCCAGAACCAGCAGAAACAGTGTGCCTTAAGGGACACCCAGAACCAGCCCTGCTGCTAACAGCACTCCTCTGAACTCCATCAGCACCTGAATCTAGGGCCAGGGGAGAGACTCATTTCACTTTATTCACCTTGGTCTCATGCCCAAGGTGATCAGTAGGCATGACTAGAAAGTTATGAAAATACATGCACCAGAATAAAGGATATTTCAAGGATCTCCAGTTTAAGCATGAATAGGTTATATCCACCTCCAGGGAAAGGCACAAGAAGAGCTCTCCAGGGTAACAAGAATGTTTCTATTCTTCTTCTCCAGAAGAGTATGCTGTTGCTCAATACTCATCACCTTGCAAAGAGGTTGTTGCAGAAACGAACTGTGGATTCAAAAAGGTAAGTGAAAGCCAGAAAATAACCCAACAGGCAGATAAGAAAGTGAACTATAAAGCAGCAACAGCAGAATGAGTAGAACAGGAACCATTCTCAAATAAATGAAGTCTCCTTAAGGCTTCTCAGAGAGCAGAGACAGTGGCCAGGTCCTGTCCCATGACACCAGTGGAATCCAAGTGGGGACCACGGTGCTGCTCATGGGATGAGCTTAGCATCTAGAATGAAAGCCAAAGTGCAGAATAATGGAAAGACCAGGAAATACCTTCAAAGTTTCCTCAAAACACAGATATGTACCAAAGAACCATTTACCTCTGGCCATCCTCAAAAGTCTTCCCTCTGGAGCCTATGCTTCCCAGACCCAAGCAAGGTTTTCCACATGGACTAAGAGAAACATTTTCTGGGACAGTAAATTCATTATCTGAGGAGAACACGAGGTGACATGAATCATGCAGGCAGTGTATTCACTAGTCAGAGGATGCTGCTGCCAGGCTGCAGAGGAGGTCAGGTCTGCATCCTGCTCAGCACAGCAGTTCTGCTGGCTGCTGTCTCATGAGCAGTTTCTCAGGAGTCCAGGCACAGCTTGCTGCAAGACCTTGGTCCAACTTTTGTCTGTTTCACACAGAAAGAACTGACTACCCTGTATCATGAAAAAAAATGCCTGTGTTTTGTAATTTGCAACTCTTGGTTCTCATTGAGGTTATTTTCTTTTGGATTTTCACCTGCAGGAGCACCATAAATGTTGAACAAGTGGTCAAGAATCCTATTTTCTTCTGTCGTGAAGTCCTGGAAAAAGCCATTGCATCACAGTGGGACTTCGTGACGTTGATTGAGCTAGTGTCTGACTCTGTTTCCTTTCACAGCACATCTCTCCAGCTCTGTAGCATAATCATGTATATCTTTCCATCAATAAACCTCCCTTTTACACTGGGCATTGGCTTTTTTTCAGTGTCACAGAGGAGGCATTTTGATGATAGCCCGTATGCCATGACTGCTGGGCATGACTGGGGGAGGATGCGGAGAGGAACACACTTGTCCTGCCTGCAGCACTCTGCCTTGTCCCTCAGCTACAGCTGATAACCCCTGGCCACTCCTGCAATACACAGGGTGTTCAGTCCCCCCACATCCAGAGATGGCACCCACTGCTCATGGCTGCTGGACAGCCCCTCACCTTTCCCCAGGCCTGTGACAGCACTGCCTTTGCCCCTCTGCCATAAGAGTAAGGGCTTAGGTGAGAACATCACGGAGTGACTGCATTGTGCTCAGCAGGAGACAGGTGAGGAAAGGGACAGCTTGCAGTCCACACCTGTGAGTGCCTGGACCCGCATCCTCCATCTCACCCTGCCAGGCCCTCCAAGTCTGGCCAGAGTTTGTCCAAACCAATCCAGGATGGATCATGGTAGGAGCCACCAGCAGCGACCCTCGCCGTGTTCCCGCCCCTCTGCTCATCCCCTCCTTCATCACGCTTGGAGCCGTGGTGGTTCCTGCAAACGCTAACAGGCTAGCAGAGCAGCATCGGGAGGGCTGGGGGAAGAAACACGGGGGCAGCAGCCGTGCCCTTGCCCATCCCACAGGCCTCCAGGGCCTCGGTTCCCGCTCCGCGCATCCTGGCACCAGGGATGCCGCAGGCACACAACAGGACCCGCTGCCACGGGGCCCAGCAGGAATTTAAGTGCACACTCCTCAAGTGCTGAGGGCTAACATCCAGCCAAGGGCTAGGATGTGTTTCAACATGATCCATTCCACCAGGAGATTTGCTAATGGCTGCATGCGGCCTAGCATTTTTTTCGTGGTGAAAATTAATCATCAGGCCAATGGAGGATATTCCTCTCCCCAAAACATTTTTTTCTTCTCTCTGCACTAAAAAATTTGAGTTTTAGTACTCCACAGGGCTTGCCATGCGGGATATGCATGATACTGATGTTATAAAAAGCCACTTTCTTAAGTTCCACAGACAAGGAATTTGTGGGACGTGAAAGAGCTTTGGGTACATTTCTGATCTGCATGCAGAATGTCAAAATTAAAACATCACTGGCAGTAGGAGGAAAAGGAGGAAAGTAAGAAAGGCTGTGAATTTTGCATTCCTGACACAGCCCAGATTGTAGCAACTGACTTGATTTACATGAGCATCAGGCTGGACTAAAGCAAGAAAAATCAATAGTTATGGTAACAAGGTTGAAAAGAAGAGCAGACTGAGTGGATGTGGATACAGGGTGTATATCTTCCTGAGGAATGTAAGGCCAATTAAGTTAAGGCTTCAGCATCTCACATGGAACTCATAAAAATCCCCTCAGGTCTGGCCAAATATGTTATTCTGTTCTGCTGAGCATAGTTTCCTGGGAAGAAACAAGGTCCTGGGGAAAAAAAAATAAAGTGCATTTTTATCATACTTTTGAAATCTTATCTTCCTCTTAGGTCAAACCTGCCTATTAAAACATGAAATGTTCATTTCCCACTGCACTCTCTTCCTTTGCATACTGAAAATGCAATGTTTGTTGCCCAATTTTATCCTTCAACTCAAATATATAATTGCTCATTGCAGTCAGATCTAATAAATATCCCATGCTCAGACTCTCCCTCCACATTTTTACATCTAGATCATGTCTCCCTGGCTTCCACTCCCACAGGGAACAGCAATATTTTTAAAACACATTCCAACTCCTCCAAGATGTCTGGAACCTTGGTGTCATGTTTCAGCTCTAGGTTTTGTGCCACACACCTGAAACTGAAGCAAGCATATTAATTGTGGGCTGAACAAGACAGGGACACCCACCAGCCTGAATGTCATTTCTTCTTCTCTCATCTGATAATCCTGAGGTGCCAGGGATCTGGGGAGTGTTCCAGGCCTCAGAGGGTAGAATTACTGTAATCTTTTAGACATACAGACTAAGCAAACTGTGTTGCCCAAATGTGACAAAATCAGGCTCACTGGCCCAAGAGCTGCTATGAGGTACCATACTGCAGCCAACTCAAAGGCACATGCACTGGCTTTCTGTGCTTGGTATTGCACATACCAATTTTTAAAAGGTGAAATTGTTGTGAAGGATATTGCACTGGGTCAGGAACACTACAATAAGCGGGAAACTCCCAGCTTCGCTGTGAGTGTCTGCCACTGTCCTTGCACCTGCTCTGGATGTCTTATGGGTCCATGCATGGCTCTGCTAGAAGTACATTAAAAGCTGTTCTGAAATGCAATTTTTATTGATAAAAAAGAATTAACAAAGTATAATCACATCATAGTGTCTTTGACTGAAGTGTTCTGTCAAGCTTACTTCCCTTTTATGTGTTAAGTAATTCTTTGTAGAGTTTATTTGTGCCGTGGGAATTGATTTGCTGCCCATGTGGAGTCCACACTCAAGGATCTGCAAAAGGCTGATGTTATAGCCTAGTTAAGAAGAAGAACTCTAACGACCATACCTTCTTTGAAAAGTTAACATAAATGCTTTTACAGTAGAAGATGAGAGTCATCCACAGTGCAGGCAGCAGGAGGCAAAATCTAGAGGAAAAATGGGTCTCTCCAGAAAAATAAGCTCTGGTGTAGAAGCATTCTCTTGCTTAGGCCCCTCAAATTATTAGCTAGGGTCAGACAAAGGAGTCTTCAGTTCTGGGAGTTTGGTTGCTCCATCTTTTGACTCAAATCCTCTGTGATCCCCACAGTGTCACAGGCAACAGTGCCAAACTATTAAACAATGGTACAGCAAGATCTCACCTGTATGATTTAGATGTTCAGATCTTCTTCTCAGCACCTGTGTCAAATATGGAATGTGAGTAATGACCAACCAATTCAATGATCATAGAAGGCCAGAAATGTGTCAGAATACCCTTCAGCCAACAAATGACGATGTCAAATTGCTCTGAGGAATCAACTCAGCTTTGTTCTCTGATTATTTCTTTGTTGAGTTCATTTATACCTGGTGGACAATTAGGGAGGTAGGGCTTTGTCTGCACTGATGTGACCCCCACCATCTGATTCATCAGCCAGGTGACACAGAAGTGTGGTCACATCTCTGGCACCACTGGCTGTGAAACACCAAATGTCAGAGAAGGACTTCCTGAGGAACATCACTCATACATTTGATTTTTTTTATTCAGAGTAACAATGAAAAGTTTCCTCAAGGATTTTCAAGTGGAAAAGCAACTCAGTGTAAGCTAATCCCATAGCTCACATCAAGAGAAACCTTCTTTCTGCTTGACCTAGTAAAGGGTCACCTTTTGAGGGTCAAGAAAATCCTAAAAGCAAGGCATTACATTGAATACAGGACCTAATAGTTTCCTTCAATGGAATGTCTCACTCTTCCCCTTTCTGATACTCCTGCAGCTCAGCACACTGATCTCCTTTCTGGCACACCACTGTTCCTGCTGGGCAAACCAGGATCTCCCTTAAGAACATGATTTCAGCAGGACCCCACAGTTGTCACCCTGTGTGTATATAACCTGTCAGCTGGGAGATTTAAAAAGTCCTGTTTGAGAGGGAAGAGAGAGACATATGAACAAGGCAGTCAAAGGTGAAGGGAATAAAAATCACCACTGGCTATGACAGGACTCTGTGCATGCTGCTAAAGTGCTAACCTCACACATTTTTTCAGCCTCCTACCCTTTGACTCACTGCCCATAGGGAGGTTAAGGCTGGGTTATTACTGGAAGCAATTGCATAACTGTGCCAGATGTTTTCTACTTCACTTCTCTAGAAGTGATAAGCTCTTGGTCCCACCAGTTCCCCTTGCTGTCCTTGCTCTGAAGGCAAGGTGTGTCCCCAAGGTGTGTCCACAAGGTGTGTGCCAAGGTGAAGCACATCTGGGAAGTCCTGTGCACTGTGGGATGCACAGCTGGCGCTCCCTTCAGAGCCCATGGCTGCTTAGGAGAGGTCTTGCCCTGTTCCCAGGACAGGCTCTGCAGCAGGACACTGTGTTGAAACGTTCCCTGATAAATGGTGTGTTCTCCAGCTGTGTTACACTGCTCACACACCTTCCCCTGACTGAAATGTCAGCTCTGCCCTGCCTAAAAAGTTGGAACAGAACAAAGCAGAGATGCAGGGGAAAGGATTAAACGTGACAATATCTGATTTCCTTGCCTCATGCTCCACTAGGACTTTCTTATTTGGTTTTCCTACAGAATCCTCTATCTCGAAATCCTGGACAGACACAACAGCTGAGCCCCAGATCCTGTCTGCACTGGGAAAGGACTCGTGTTGGGTACCAAACATCTGGCTTAGCTGTAGCACAGAGAGAGCCCAATGGCCTTGCATCATGTCACCCAGCAAGGCAGGAAACAAGGTGAGTATGAATATCAGGGGTTTTCTCTTCACTGGCACTTCTGCTTATGGCCTTGTGCTATGAAGTGTGGATGGTCTCTGGGGATGGATGTCTCATGGCACCTGTGGGTACCTGTTCTGTTGTTACATAGCCCTTGGGAGAAAAACTTTTTCTCCTTCCATGTGCTCATTGTTTCTCTGTATGAATCTTGGCCTGTTTACCTTTGCTCCTGCCACTGTGCACCTCTGAGGAAAGCCTGGCTCCAACACTGTTCAACCTAACTTGGACATAACCTCAGGGCCAGCAGAAGAACCTTCATGAGATGCCTGTACCTGAGGAGAGAGGTAGTCCAGACACTAACTTTACAGCCAAAGCTAAACAGAAAGTCTATATGGATTTAATATATCTTTTTATATGGTAATTTTTTGTCTGAAGAGCCATATGACTCAAAAAAAAGCATAATTGATTGGCCTGAGTGTTGGTCAGAGACACATTTGTAAATGTTTTGGCTTTTTCTACCCCCCTCCTTGACAAAATTCTGAGTAGTACAAAAGCATAAATTAAAATAGCTTGTCATTTGTTACTGCATCAGGGATTATCTTCAATTCTCTGCAATATCCAAAAATATCTGCTAACATGCGAGCAGTTTCCTGTTTACAGGTTTTGAAATTATTAGAGAGTGTTCACTAGTTCCCTTAGATGGATTTTATAATGGGATTTCAGCAATTTATCCTACTCTGTGTGTGCTGTGTGTACTGTAAGTATCAAAGGGCCACACACTGGATTTCTCATGCCTCAGGGTAAACAACCTTGTTTATAGCCTTTTTTACAGCATACAGTATAAATTTCGTCTAAGGCAAGACCAAATTTATATATACTGTGGATGTTTGTTATAACATAGCTGAGAAAGACAGAAAACCTCTAAATACCTTGCATATGGCTTACCCTACAGATGGCCACCTCACATCACACAAAATATGGTCACAGGACCATTTATAAAATTCAGCTACAAATCTGGTTTGCAATTTAATCTACAAAGTGCATTAAAATTGAAATAATTCATTGATGGTTTTGCCATGCCTGAATTTAGTCATTTGTTCATATGACACCTCAGAAATATGAGTTATATTTGACAGCCCAGCTGTCCACGTCTGGGAAAGGCAGTTCATCTGCTGTCAGGCCCTTCTCTCAGGTTAAATTATACAACAAGCAACTAAAGTGGATAATCTTTATTCATTTTGACATTTCCAGTTTCATTTGAAGTTTAGCTGATGAAGCTGTCTTATGGTATTTCATTTCATTGTGTATCTTCCTGTTCCTGCTTGGTACAACTTGTAAAATGTTCATATTTTCTGAGGTTTTTTTTAATAGATGACTTTCCCTTCACTGTGGTCCGTGAAGCATTTTGTCTCCTATACAATGAGAAACCCCTTTTTATGTCTTTGGGTGTTGCTATTATTCCAATTGATTTATCTAAGTACTTTTTCCTGTCATACTTCTTTGTCACACTAAATAAATTGCTTTGGGTTTGTTTGCTTTTGCTTTTTCTCAGGCTGGGAAAACTAATATCATCATTTGGATTTCCTTTAAAATAACAATACTGATGTTTGTGGTTTTTTCTCTCCTGTAGTATTTTTTCTGCCTTTAGCTGAACAGCTAATACAATTTGTTAACAGGAGCTGTTCATATAAGTCTTGAGTTTTACATTGGGTTTTTCCTCACCTGTCACCACACAAAGCTGCTGGCATTAAAGAGAGACATTCCTTTGCTAGAGCTGCTGGTTTCCAACAGGAGTTCTTGGGTGAAAGTGCATGGACCACCTTAGGCATGACACCAGTGTCTTCAAGAAACGTTTCCACAGCTTTTTCTTTTCACACATGCCTGTTCTTCAAAGGTTAAAGTTCACTTTATTGCTTGGCTTTGGCCTTGAGGGTCGAGCATTGTGCTACATCCTTGAGGAGACTGAGCAGGATCATACTAGAGAAACAAGTGTCTTTCTTGGGATTATTTACCTTGGGTGGCAGAGGTGCCAATACTTCTTTAAGACTTCTGGAGCAGACAAGGATTCCCACATATACTACTGTTGTGAAAGTACAGAGAATATTTGCACCCAGCCACAGACACCTTTTCTTCCTGCAATTGCAGTCAGCAGCAAGGAAGGAGTTGTCCACTCTGCTTTTGGACAATTGGCAGTCACCTACAAAGCTAAAAAATAGAAACTGAAAAGTAATCAGAGGAAACTATACCAGGATTGGGTTATAGTGATTAAAATTACACAGCTCAATATCTTGCTTTGTTTTCAAGGGAAAATGTGTTTTCTACAGTGATTATAAACTTGGAGGTGTAGGACACATCAAATTTTTGTGTCATCTTTGCCAGGCAAAGCAGTGAGGACTGTAAGGCTCGGAGGAAACTTTGCAGAATGAGGCATGCTGTGACTGGAATTCATCAATATTCATGATGGCCCATATTAACTTATTAATTTCACCTTCTGTGTCAGTCATTCCAACTCAAAACAATATATTTTAAAGTGCTGATAAAGAGGAACTGTGAAGAAAATATTGTGGAAATTTAAATCAGATTGCTGTGATTGGATGCTGCCCACAGGGAATATAACCATGTGCTGAACACAGTTCACATCCCCAACACTGTGGATTTCTGATGGGTTAAGGAAAACAGGGTATGAATCATTCAAAGATTTCTAATATAAGCATTACCCAAATAAATACCCTTCCCCCACTTGCAGAGTCTCTGGCCAAATACTGTCCCTGTGTTCCAGCTCCTCCTTGCTGCCTCTCCCTGTTTCCGGATGGGCCCTGGCCCCCAGCCCTTATCTCCTCCAGCCCCTGGGCTGTTTGCAGAGAGCAGCTATAAAGGAGGCTGACAGAGCACCGAGTGGAGGGGAATTACAAAGTGCAGGAAAACAGCAGCACTGCTTGGCTCAGCACAACCTGCTCTGCACCATGGGGAAGGACAAGCTGCCCAGCAAACCAAACATCTTCCTCCTTCTTCTCTTCTTCCTTCCTGGAAATACTCCTCTCAACACAGAACCGTAAGCTACACGTGCGGAGGGGGGGGGAGGTCTACGTGCTCCCTTTTTCCTGCAGTTTTCTTCCCACTAATAACCAAGCCCCGAGTTTCCTGCCCAGCTCTGACAGTGCTCCTGCTCCCATCCTGTAATCCCCCGGCTGTCCAGCCCTGGGACCCCTCCCCACCACCATCTCTGCCCGTGGCCTCCTTCCACCCTCCCCAAATCTCTGCCCACATGCCCACAGTCCTGCCCTGGCAGTCCAAACCTGGATCCTCTCAACACCTTTGCCCAGGTATTTTTCTGCCTTGAAACCTCTCAGGGCCTGGGATGTTGTGGGCATGATGCCGGGATCCAGGTGCTCACCTTTCCCAGAGTGTCCTTGTTTCAATCACTGAGTTACTTCTCCCCATTCTCCTGTTGCTTCCCAAGCCAGTTTGTTCCCCTTTCTCCTGCCAGTTTGTTTCCCTTGGCAGCCTCAGTTGTGCTTGTTCTCGGAGAGGATCTGTGACCTAGATTCCCTTCCTGCGGCTCGGGGCTGGTGCCAGCGCCCTCCCCGGGCACCCGCACCAGGGCAGCTCAGCCCGGGAGCGCGGCTGCAGCAGGGCTCTGCAGGGAGAGGGGCAGCCCGGCATGGCACGGGCAGGCTGGAGCCTGGCGTGCCCACCCCAGCCTTGCCCGCCGGACAGTGCTGCTCTGGAGCCTCTTGTCGGGGTGGGAGCAGCCCCTCTCTTCATACCTTGGCTGCTGCTCCGCTTGCAGCGCTGACAGAGGCGCGGCTCTCACCAGCACGGGTCCAGCGGTGCTCGCTGCAGGGATTTCATGCCCACGAGCACTGCCCCAGGGCTGCAGAAGGTGCAGCGCTACTGCTGCCACTTGCTGTGTGCTCAGAGGTAAAGCTGCCACTGGGTCAGCCTGAGGGACCTTTGACTCATGCTGTACCATCAATCCCTCATTTGTCTGCCCTGTTTGGGTTCTTCTGGGGTGGATCAGCCAAGCAAGTATGCTTTGGGGTCAGGCACAGCTCTGTGGTCCCCTGCAGTTATCTGATTTCCAAGTAATTAAGTAATCTTCATTCATTCTTGCCCAACATCAGGGGGAAAGGGAATGAAACCATACTGCTCAGACCTGTGGGGAGCACAGAGCCATAGACAGACCTGGGCTGGAAGGGACCTTAAAGATCCCTCGGTTCCAAACGCCCTGCCAAGGACAGGGACACCTTTCTCTAGAACAGGTTGCTCAGAGCTCTATTCAGCCTGGCTTTAAGCATCTCAAGATGGATTATCCACAGCTTGACTTGGCAATCTGTGCCAGTGCCTCACCAGCCTCACAGTGAAGGAATTTTCTCCATAATATCTAATCTAAACCTACTCTCTTTCAGTTTGAATCCATTTCCCCTTGTCCTGTCCCTTGGACACAGTCTCTTTCCATCTTTCTTGTAGGCTTCATTTTGTCCCTTAACTGAGCCCCATTCTGGGAGGGAAGAACAGAGAAAGACAGAGAGGTGGGAGAGAGAGGGGTGTTGTTGGGGTCCCCAGAAGGAAGGCAGGAGCCCAGTGAGGAGGCAGTTCTGAGCAGTGAACTGCTAGGTAGCATAGGTAGTTTTGCTGTGGGTGCAGCATAGATCAGATGCTGCATACAACACAGAAAGGAACCAACCCTTGGACTGAAGACAAAATAAACTTCCAACCAAGTCTTGCTCACTGTGCCCTATGCAAGTGGGGGTATCACTTATTTGGGCAGAAATAGCTGCTGCTATTTCTGCTTCAGAGGTGGCCAGCTGGACAGGAGACACAATTTAGGCTCAGATTGCGTATTACAAAGAAACATATTCATCAAATTAGTGCAGCACTGGAACAGATGACCCAGACAGATGGTAGAAACTTCATCTATGGTGTCCTTTGCAAAAGTCCTGTTCCAGGAGGGAAGGCGGGCTTAAGACATCCAGAGGTCCTCTGTAACCAAAATTTCAATTATTTTGGAAGAATGCAGCCAAAGGTTTTATTCTCCTACTCTGGTTGTGCATGTAAGCTGTTTTACAGTGCAGTGGACATGCTTGGGAGTACTCTGCATTTGGTCATAAGTGTAAGGCCATAATGACACTTTAATTGGCAGGTATTGATTTGGGCTGATGAAGTTCAATGCCTTCTTTGGCTGGGTGCTTGCTCTAGTAAGCAGCTGAGAGTCAATACACAGACAGACATTATTCCACCTTCAGCTACAGTGTAACCTTCTCTGTAGTGACAAACTCACCATTTTTGCCTCAGCCTCCATCTCTGGGGTCTCCCATTCCTCCTTGATGTGTGCCTCTGTCAGAGTCTCTGCCTCTCTCATCAGAACAGCTCATTGCATGCTGAGGTCTCTTTTGGCAGCCCAGATGCTTTTTGTCCTGGAATGTGTGTACATGGGTTTTGTGACTACAGTTGCTTAAAACACTCATGGTAATTTAATTCATCTGTCTCTACTAAACAACACATCCCCAAACACCTAAAGAGAGGTCTATAAACAGCATGGTTTATATCTCTGTTTCAAAGGCAGGGAAGCCGGCCTAAGGGGAAATTCTGCAAGTTGGCCATAACTTCAGCAGAATAGTGAACAGGAAGAGAAATGAGGCCAAATTCTCCACAAACTAGGTCATGCTGTCCTTTCTGTAGACTGGATGTTATTGTCACATTGCCAGTGTCACTGACAGGGGACAGAGGGGATGGCAATAGGGGAAGCAGCATGGGCTGAAGCCATGGTAAGAAGGTTGTGGAAGAAAGGAAACGCTGGAGAAAGCAGAGTCACAAGCAGTAACTCACTCTCTGGGAGGCTGGAGTTCCCTCCTTTCACAGCTTCTGCAGCAGCACTGCCTGAGCAGAGCTGCCAGCAGGCTCCTCACTACATTTCACCACAGTGCTGCCTCATGGTGAAGGAAATGCAGGAGCTGCTGGGATCCCACGGCCTCCACAATGGCTTTAGGACTCCCCAGAAAGCTCAGAGCTCAGGCAAAAATGTAGCTCTGGATGGATGCATTTGTATTTGTCCTCTATTCCTTTCTGAATCCTTCCTGACAGTCTGTTACTTATTACTGATTATTGAGAATTTTCCAAGGCTGACCAACAGTGGTCAAGTCTGAGTGGTAGGAGCTCGCTTATTATGTTCCCTTTATGAACAGTTCTTTTGCTATTTTTGCTACTCAGTTCTGTCATACAAAAAAATCTTTTCCACAAATATCTAAGTCAATTTTTAGAATTTTCTTATCCTGCACAATTATGAGAGAATTGTACTTCCGAGATCATTTAGGTATGTACTGAAAAACAAGGGTCTCAACACAAACTCTGGAGGTTTTCACTGGTTCCTACCCCTTCTGCCCTATCTTTCAACCAATTAATCCAGGACTGAATTAATAATTTGATTTATTAGTAAAATGATGCCTTTTATTGAATAGCGGCTTAGTTTAAGGGTCCTCTGTGAGGGACCTTTCTCAAAGCTCTTTGAAGATGCAAGTACACTTGAGGTGCAATAAAACACTACACCCCAAAATCCTTTGTGTGCTCATCTTAATAAGGTCCCAATCTGCAAGCACTCACATCTTTGCTCAGCGTGTGAAGGATTTGGAAACCTGGATAGGCAAAGACTGGAGGAGTCAGACAAGTGGGTGGGTTTTTTCCTCAACTGTTTTTAGCTAATGCCTTTGAGTCTCAAAAGGAGATTGTGGGATATACAAAATTCAATTAACAGCCTGAAACCTTTCAAACCATCCTTACTCCCTGCTGTGAAGCCAAACAAAACATCCTTTGTAAAGCACTCTCCATTAGCATAGAAATTGTTCCTTCTACTGCAAGCATTTTCCTGCTTTTAGGCTAATTAGTTAGACCGTTTAATATGTATAAACCAAAAATAAAATGAATGCTCATGTTATATGCACTGCAATTCGCAGGGATGGCAATGGATTAGGCATGCTGATTTGTTAATTTCCTTTCACTTAATACTGTTGCCTTAAAACTGTTTCACATTTCTGGTCTTTCTTGCTTCCCTCTCTTCACAGGCAGTACATGGTGCTGGTGCCCTTTCTGATCCACACAAATTCTCATGAGAAAATCTGTGTTCAGCTGACCTACCTGAACGAGTCTGTGACCCTGAGTGCCACACTCGAGTACCTAGGGGAGAACAGGAGCTTGATTGATGATGTGGTGTCAGAGAAAGACGTGTTCACCTGCATCCCTTTCTCTGTGAGCATCTCATCCTCGTGGGATGGTCTCTTGTGTTCATTGATGTGGGACAGTAGATCCAAACAGTCCAGAAATGAGAAATAAGACACACTGCAATCAGAGACCCCTAAGCTAAGTCGAACAAAAGAATTAACTCAATGTGGATGACTGACTGTGGTATTTTTACAAGGACTAATTTTCCCCCATTATCAAATTCTGTGTCCCACATGATACTTCTCTGCATGCTTGTGTTAGAGAAGTATTTTGGAACTTTGACTGACAGAATGTGCCCCATGTTTGTTTGACATGAGTAAGCCTGAGACGAAAAATAGTAGCGTGGAGTGAAAACTGTAAAAGTTGGGGAATTGTTAAAGACAGTGAGGTCCATGAAATCATATGACTGCTTCTGGAGTTTATTCCAAATTTTTTACTGCAGAAGGCTGGTTGGTGAGTAATGTAGGCAACAGGTCCCATACCCTAGTTAATGAATCTGGGTTAATTTTCTTTTTGATAAATCGTGTGACAGAATAAGATCAGTTTCAGTATTTGTCTAAGAAAAATATATAAATGAAGGAAGGCAATAGTTTTTTTTCTTGCTCCCTGCACTGAGTCATTTTTGTCCCTTTAGGGAACTTTCTGACCCCGCTAGCACTTCTTCCTTCAGTGCTCAGTTCAATGGGGTGGATCAGTAAAGCACTTATCCTCTTCATTCTCCTTAGCTCCCAAAATCCAATAGCACATCAGTGGCATTTCTCACTGTGACAGTGACAGGGGACACACTGCACTTCAAGAGCCGCAAGTCAGTGCTGGTCAAGAATTCTGAAAGCTTGGTCTTCGTCCAGACAGACAAACCCATCTACAAGCCTGGACAGACAGGTACTGGGAATTGGGCTGGTATTGACTCTGACAGCAAAACATCTTAAGGGCTCCATTCTCCAGAGGTGCCATACTTGTATTGAAGTTTTCTGGTTTCTTCATGGGGAGATCTAAGGTACTCAGTAAATCTTATTTCTGTCAGCTGAGGTCTAGTTCATGGAACTTTCATCATTCCTAATCTCCATTCTCCAGGCACAGCGTCTCAGCCAGATGTAGGCACAGGCTCTGATTCATTCTACTCAAGTAGAGGCACAAAACTGGGATGACTGCAAAGCATAGTCTCCCTTGGCTGCACCAGAATCAACAAAGCAGGACAGGCACTCCCAAGAGATAATTCAATTCAGCCAAGACCTGATTATCCTTCTAAATTTATCTTCCCCTCACTATCTGCAAGAGAAAGACCCTGAAGTAATTGTTTCTATTACTTAGAGATCTCAATTCAGAGCCTGTTGATCCCTGGAATGAATCTGGGTAATAAATTATTGAAACATTTCCTGTGACGGCTACAAATTTAACTGTGGAATTTCCTTTTCTTCAGTTCAGTTTCGGATCATCTCTCTGGACAAAGACTTCTACCCTTTGAATGAGAAGGTAGAGCCTTAATTCCTTGTTGTTAGCCAGGAGATTTAATTCGTAGATTAACACCATTGCTGTCATCATCCAGAACCAGCCTTTAAAGACAGCCTTTAATGCATATGATACTCTCTCACACCATGCTTTACCTGTTCCATAATCTATCCTAGGACACATTCCGCCTCTAAAAATCCCCCTTTTCAGAAGTATATAGATGTTTAAAACCAGATTTGCAAATCAGTGTATGTGGCTAAGCATGTGGGCAGGGATGTCATTACTGAAAAAACGTGTGGGACAAGTTTGCATGGGTGGTGACAGGTGTGAAGTTGTTTCTGGCAGTGGGTGCAGTCCCACACTTAGAGAGCAGCATGACAAGATCTTGGTTTTATGGAACTGGCCAGGGCTGCAAACCCATCTTTTGTTTTATTTGACAATCAATTCCTTATGCAGACAAATTCTTTGAAAATTTGTGCTTCATCACATCTTCATACAGTGGTAAGACAAAAAGTCAGGGTCCTAAAATATTATCGTAAGATTCCCTTAGCCACCAAGATCCAAGGAAAAAGAGCAAGTACAGAAAGGGAACAACCCAAAGGACTTCTTAGAAGTTCTTTGTTCTTCTTCCCCTCAGTCCAAATCTGCAAAATAATTCAGTGTGATTAATATTTCTAACATTGATTTTCTTTTGATCTTTCCCCACAGTTTCCCTTTGTCTACGTTCAGGT